ATGTTGTATAAAGCCTACACTATTGGAAACCGTTGTATTTCAGAATTAGAGGCGTCTTTCTTCGACGTGTTTGTTTTTGTAAATGGAAATGTTCTTTAATTCATACTCGATTTTAATTATTTATCTATTCAATCTTCACAACGCATGATACAAATATTAGGAACACTCAACAGTCGTTGTAACGCTCGAAATAGCAAGTAAAGTTGACATTATGACGATTTTTTTATTACCATGTCTTAATACGTAACTGAATATTTTAATCATCGAGAATATTGAGTTTCATTTATACTGTAAAATTTCGCGTAAATAAGTGATTAATTAATCTTAATTTACAATTATCTTTTCATTTATTAGTTTTTTGTTACTGAGGGCTTTTCAGTTTCTATTTTTTCATTTAAACGAACTAACTGATTAAGGCGCAAGTAGAGACAAGAATGGTAATGGGATGGTTAGAAAAAATCAACTTTGTGCTGGGTGCTAATATACACGGTGGTGATTTGGTTGCAAATTATCCGTTTGACAAGTCAATTACAGGGAATTCTGCCGAATCTATTACACCAGATAATCCTACTTTTGTGTAAGTTAAATCACGGATTTTACTGGATATATATATATAGGAGGACATAAGACCTGTCATTTATTTTCTAGGATCGCGTATGAAACACTGAAATGAACTATCATCAATTTTTTAGGACATCACTTCTTGTCATCCTATTTAGGCATGGATTTTCAAAACTGAAGTTAAACATGTATCTTATCGTCCGTCCTTGTTTAAAAATAATGTATTGTGTCGAATCTTATCTTTAAAAATGAGATCATGGATGTTTCGAAAACAAATTTTCAGTAGCATATTACTTTTTGAAGTTTCGGTTGATTAGGTTTCCTAGCCACGCAATAAAGCTTTATGATTTACTAGCTTATTCAGTTAGCACATCACCGTCGACACCTCATTCATGATAAACAAATCTTATCCTCCATCTCAGAACTGTAATAAGTAAGGAACTCGGTTTGTCCATCTATGGAAAAAATAAAACACCTCCTAGCTTCAAATAGTTTAATTCCATCAATATCAAGCTTTGAGTTAAAATTTCATACTTTCTCAACTGAACTTGTACTTTATCTCTTGGTGCGTAGAATTCAGTCAACAATGTGAATTCAGATAATATTATGGGTGACGTCAACCGACCAGCCAATGTACACAGTTTAATTTCAAAAATATAGTTTTCGATTCAAAATCATTTTGAGGTATCATTCTTTGTTAATACAGGATAATACAAGTTTTTACGCTAGAAAAGGATAATTTTTAACAGTAAAGTAAAGATAGATGGTGACTAGGAGTGAAATCTAGGCCTCTCGTCTCCTGCTAGGGCCTAAGCACCTAGAAGCTCCCATTGTTAATATTCAAATAGGACGAAATGGGCTTTCTGAAATCCACTGCTTGTCACTACCTGTCTTTATTTATATACTTATGACTGAATAGAAGATAGATTAATCGAAATTCAATCCTTGACGTCAGCAACGGGAATATCTAGACACATAGAAAGAAATGATAGGTTTCAGTTTATCTATATCACTGAACTTTGGTCTGCCACAACAATTAAAGGTCTTTTATGCACAAAGCCATTTTATGTAAAGTAGTTAGTGTTTTCACCAACCAGCATTCAGTGTATTGCTGAATGACAATAACGTATTATGACAACAAATAAGCTGAACTTTAAAAATTGATCACTTAATAAATTTTCAAAAAATCCAAATTTTAGTGAGCTAGCAGAATCTTATGCTGATCATCATCCACGAATGAAAAAAGGGATTAAAAAGTGCTATGACTCCGATAACCATTTCAGTGATGGCATTACAAATGGTGCAAGATGGTATTCGTTAAATGGAGGTGAGAATATAATATATTTGACAAGATGACTTCGTTATTTTAACTATTTATTTTATTTGTATAATTCTGTTCTAGGTTTGTTCGCATTTGAAATCATTGGTCTGAAGTAGGTGCACTTTGAGCCGAACGGTGCTCAGAATAGTTAAAAAGTAACATAAAGTTAAAGGTCTTCACTAATGGACATGCATACACCATATCCCACTGTCTTTATAGTTTTCCTTCTAAAGGAAATCATTTGCTGATGATAACAAAAATAAGAATACTAGAAGACGTGGAATTCTGTGAAATTTAAGACATAAGATTCAGTGCTTTTATGTTGGCTGTTTGTCTAAGAATTTGTTCAGGAAAGCAATCATGCGTGATGGGAAATCAATTTACAAATGTTTGCTAAATAAATGTCTACTCAAAGTTTGTGATGAAGTGTTCTATATTAACCCTACGTTCGAGCTTTTATAAATGAACCTTATGCTTTTGGTGTTTTATTGTTTCACTTTAATTGAACCTGCATTTTCTTGTATCGGTTAGCATCAGCTATACAGATTAAATTAATTAACTGGCTATTTCAAGTAATTTCATAATAATTTAGATATTTCGAATTGTAAAAACTGTTCTATGAACAATACATTTTTTTCCATCTCACTCATCCTCATGTGTAATAGAGTTTTCTCAACAAAATTCTACAAAATATTGTTTTCGCTGAATTAGGTTATTGTTTGGAAACTGACAGCTGTTCATTCTTAAGCTCACAACGCACTCTGATAGTTAGCACGAAACCCCAATTATCCAAAATGGATTATTCACTTTGGTTCGTTAAAAAGAAATTTATTTCAGTAGTCTCGTACAACCTTATACTCCGGACTGCATTTCTCACTATCTACACAAAGCTGATTACTGCTTTCAGTGTTCATATTTAAATTTATTAAAGATAACAAGACTTGCATAACAAAAAATGAGAGTTGATTACATGAATCCCAATATTGTAGCTGATCCAGAACTCACAACCTTAGATGTTGATAGTCAATTCTTTCCAGTTATCGGAATGTTAAACAACGCTAAAAAATATCTAATAAAACTTCAATAGTCTACCGTCGACAATGTACAAATCAAAATTGAAGTAAAGGTAGTCATTGCAAACAAGCTTTTAATGTACAAATTCTTTGGTTCAGATATTCTGAATATATTACGCGGCCATAGAGAAGGACTAATATTTGATATTTTCCGTCGTTCATCAGCTAACATCATTTCATAATGAGAGTCTAGTTTACAATATCTTTATTGTGTCTTGTTAATTTCTTTATTAAGTAGAATAGTTTAGTGGTGTAAAAATTCTAAAACCGTTCATTTCACCAACTTCTTTCCAACATAGACCATCAGACATTGTATTT